CTCTATAAAATGGAGGTAAAATGAGTGTAATGAAGGGTGTGATGAAGACTACCTCTCAGGGCCATTGCGAGCATTGGCAATGATCAACAGATCATTGTACCACTAGTCTATATTCTACTATTACAGACATTCTATATGATTCTATATTAATATCATATCTGTTATAGAGTAACATAGACATCATGTCCCTCTACCAGAAGGACTGACAGTCAGTGGCAGTGGTGACTTTCTTAAATGACAAACTCGATCATGACTCTTCTAATGTGTAGAATTTGAAACTGGAAGGGACCTTTGAGATCGTTTAGGTCTTACTTTCAAAGAGTACATTCCTCCCCCTTCACCCAGGAGAGTGTAGTCCTTGCCCCCCATAGGTGTCCCCTCCAGGTAGGTGCCCGTGAGGAAGAACCCTGCCCCCTTTCCCTGGAAGAATCCCTTTATCCGGGTCCAACATGGCCAGTCGCCCGTCACATCCTTGCGTGGCGGCGCTCCCTGTCTCCTCCCCGTTCTGGGTGTTTGCCTTGCGGGTTGTTGATCCTCTTCCCATTCATGTGTGTGTCCAGAGCTGGGCCCTGTGTTCTCAGATGCCCTCTCACCAACACACAACACCCCGGGCCGCTGCTCCCTTGCGTGGTTCCAGTTTTTGTTTCTAAAAAGACTTTATTATTTTAGAGCAGTTTTAGGTTCACAACACAATGGAGAGGAAGGTCCAGAGATTTCCCCTATGCCCCCTGCCCGCCTATAGGCACAGCTTACCCCATTGCCGATGTCACTCACCAGAGCGGGATCTTTGTTACAACTGACACCTAGATGTCTTTAGATGGAGATAAAATGTACATGGAGCAAGAGGCACCCATCTTAAAAGGCACCCATTCCACAAGTTTTGTGAAACGTATGTACCCTGAACCCAATACATCAGTCAAACTATAAAACATTTCCATCGTACCAGAACGTTCTTTCTTGGCTCCTTTTGTCAGTCCCCACCCTCATTAGGCAACCACGGTTGTGATTTTCTAGCACCACGGGTTAGTTTTGCCTGCTCTTGAACTTTATATAAATGGAATCATGCAGCATGTACTCTTTTCTTTTTATCCATCTCTTTTCACTCAATGTAATGTTTTTGAGGTCCATTCAGGTTATCGTGTATACCAGTAGTTTGTTCATTTTTATTGCTGAG